ATAGCAGAAAACATATAATAATTTGAACGTCTGCAGGAATTTGCAAGAGCTGTGAATAAGTCAAATCAGCCAATGAAATGCAGATTGTACTGGGGTCAACACAGAATTCGTTATTTTGAAATGTTTGAATTGGAGTTGTACATGTTTCAGTTTTTTATTAGAAGTATATACATTTTTGAATGATTTAATGCAAATACAGAACTAAGGATATAGATGTTCATTAAATTGGCACCGGTAAAATGTAATTGGTAAGATCTGCTTTTGTTTTATTTTAATATGAAAAAAATATCTTTGAATCATCTTTGAGTAACTGCAAGGTGTAACACCTAGATCAAATCTAAATCTATTTATTATAGATATCAGTCCTTATTTTAATATCACATTTGTATGCTTCTTAAATGTCTAAAAAATATCCCAAATCAATCAATTAATATAATTATTTGTATACCCGGTATGTTTTCAAATAAATTAGTTATATTATTCAATTTTTAAATTATCATGATTGAGTTTAAAGTTTTTAGTTTTCTATACATACTGCATAAGGAAAAAGGGTATAATCCACTTTAATTAGGAAAAATATGGGAACATTGTCTTGGAAGATAAAGAGAGTCAATCATTACTTCAGAAACTTGCATCATTTCAGACATGTGATGGATTTTCTCTAAAATTAACAGACGAACGGTTATCAAAAATAAAGTGGACTTGCGTCTTAAAATTTAAACCGCTTTAGGCACATCAATGAATTTTAAAACTTCTAGTTAGCATAATCCAATCTATCTAAATAATAAATCATAAATCCTAAATTTTATTTTTTAATAAATAAGTACTAGTAATGTTTTTGTAAGCAATGGTATGTCCAGGCTGCGCAACCTCGAACATGACGTTTTTGCGACCTACCCAGGTATGTGTATACCTGATTTAACGGGATTTTTGGATGTCAAATGATCATATCAAAAGAGTTTTTCTCAGTTTGTATCGGGACCCAATTTTCCATAAAAATATGAAATTTTAACTTCATTCTGGAAGTTCTATGAAATTTTATAAATTTTACACGGAATGTTCAAACTAATGAGGCGGGTTTAAGTCCTTACTCAGCTACAGGAAATCTCATTTAAAAGTGTATGAGGTAGAAGAAGCGGACATTGAAAAATGTTATCGGACGTCATGAAAATAAACGACGATATCGCCGGGGGATCATATAATGTAGTTTATATTTTATAATAATTTGGCAAATAATAAAGCTATCAGGCTAAAAATGTCAACATTTCTCTATTTTTTGTTGTTTTATGTTCCATATAAATTCAGTCCACGAACTTTCGTAGGTCAGGACAAAAGCTTTCTGCGAATCTGCTGCTTGTATACAGGAATTTGCCAAAACCATAAGGAAATTGTTTGCTGCATGTAAGCAGCAATGTTTGCCACAAGCCTGCAGCGATGTTTGCCGCAAGCTTGCATCAAGGTTTCCATGTATGAAAAATCCAGTGTTTGCTGCAGACATGTAAACACCAAAGCTTTGTATAGACTGTCATGTTTATCTTTAACTACAGCAATCTTGCAGCAATGTCTGATGCAAGTTTGCAGCAAGTACTTGCAGGAAGGCAGTGTTTTGGTAGGGGTATTAATTGCACATATTTCATTGTTCTTTGGCCACTTTGACAAATTATTGGGATCTTTTAACTGCCCCTGTGCATGTACTGACATGAAATGAAAAAATCTTTTGAACTTAGTGCTTTAAAGAGAAATTTATTGATATTTATTTTTGTGTTTTTCAACAGATACAGATTTTAATAACATGTCGGGCTCGTCGGTCATAGTAAAAATTTCTAAAGAAAGATACGAGTCCAGCACCTATAAAACAACGCCTGGTGGGAAAGGTCACCTCTGTAAACCCGTTATATTGGACATCAGAAAGACCCACTTTGGTCTCTTCAGTCATGAGCGACCCTCTGCCTCCAGGGATGTTGAGCTTCTAACGCAGACGTTCCAAAAATTACCGGGGTTTCACCCAGACCCGTACGTCATTAGTGATAAGAATTCGGAGAAGGAAACTGATCCTTTATACTCCGTAGAAAATCTGAAAAAGGAACTGAAAAACATTGGTAATAGTTAGCGGATTTGTGTGTCAGAATATCGGTGAAGTCACTGTATTTTGAGTATGCTATTTTGAATTTCTATATTACTTTTACCATTTTCAGTAGATCTACATGCTATTTTTGTTTTTAATACAATTTAGTTTTTGACATAATCAAAGTTCTAAAATATTTTTTTTTACTTTTGATTTTAACTCTTTTAGCCAGTAACGAAGAGATAACAAAGGATTCTGAGATCTTTGTGTGTGTTGTGCTGGCGTTTGGGGAGTCGGGGTATTTCTATTTACCCAATGATCCAATAAAAGGACATGAGCCAAGTAAACAACCTCCAAAATTCTCCGTGAATGATCTGCTGCTGAGCTTTAAAGGAAACCATTGTCCACATTTGATCCTCAAACCAAAAGTTTTCCTGATACAAGTAATTATAATTCTGACCATTTTTTTGCACACTTCAACGAGGTTGAGGGATGTTATGTGTGATGCATCTAATCTAGGCGTCCATGTCAGCCTCAGGCTCCAAGGTTAAAGTTTGCGAAGCAGTTTTCCTATTAAGTATATCTATGCCCTACATTTATCATAGAAGACTTTTTAATGTGTTTTATTACACCAGAAAAGTTTCAAATGCTGCAATTTCAACAAAAGAGTGACCAGGTTTAGCAGAGGTTTATGTTTTTGGAGATGGTTCCATTTTTACGTAATTACAAGGGGTTATCAAAAAGTTCGCAAACAAATTGAATAAAACTAATAAAATTAGGTTTTAATGTTAACTATTTTTACCCCTCGCTGACTTTAACGAATATCTGCCACTGTTCAGCTCAGGCGCGAATCACATGATCCAAACAAAAAACAGTCTATTTGTTAGAAATGACCAATTCTCGGAAATAGGATGGTTGGGTAACGATATTCTTTCCCAGAAAGAGCATGGTGACCATCACAATCCGATTCCTCTGTGTTATAAACGTCGTTCATCCGAGATAATATGGGATCCTTTTTTGTATTATATTTAATATGTTTAAAGTCCTAAATGAATGGTGTTTTAAGGAATTATTAATGATATTATTGTTCAAAACAGATTAGCCCCGTGGGGATCCGGGTAAGAATAGGTCCTCAGTACCCCCTTGCTTGTCGTAAAAGGCGACTAAATGGGAGGTCCTTCGGATGAGACCGTATAAACTGAGGTCCCGTGTCACAGCAGGTGTGGCACGATCCCTCCCTGCTCAAGGGCCGTAAGTGCCGAGCATGGGCCTAAATTTGCAGCCCTTCACCGGCAATGGTGACGTCTCCATATCAGTGAAATATTCTGGAGAGGGACGTTAAACAGTATATAATCAATCAATCAAAACAAATTGACCAACAAAGGACATCTCTTCTCCAGCTTGCTCTCACTAGACCACAAAACAGACGTCAATTTTAAACCTCTCCCTCCTTTCACGTTAACAGTCAATCCAATTTATGATTGAACGTCTGGAAAGTTTATTGTCTTCATAAACCTTGTACACATTATTATAAGATATTTCAAAGGAATTAAGCTAAACGGTAAACTCTACAGCCATTCGTTGCTCGAGTAAGACTTTGACAACCATTTTTTGTTATGAGTCACCTACATATTGACGTCATTTTCAAATTTTGACGTCACAATGATGGAGAAAATCATTCCTTTTCATATACTATTTATAGAACCAACCTTTGCATGCCTATAAATGTGCCAAGTTCCATTCTGATCTGAATTCTATTTTTGTAAATATAGAACTAGTTCGCGAACTTTTTGATCACCCCTCGCATAAGTCCGATGTTGACCAAACTTGCAATGTTGATTTATATAAGAATGCACAATACTGAACTTCTTTTGGATGCTGGATCTAATGCAGATTTTATATAAATGAGGAGCCACGTTAAAGCTTTCGGAACAATTACATTCTTAAAAAATACATTTTCAAATATTTTCCTGAAGATTTTTTTACAAATTAGAAGGCAGTTCATAATCTCACGAATTACTGTGGATGAGGAGGAATATATCCATTATGAGATCATAATACTGTACTTGATATCAAAACTATAGTGCAAACTATCTTGTTTCAAAGTGATCATTATTTGACAAAAATTTGTAGATACAGTGTAGGCTACCCGAACCCAAACAATGTAAATATAAGATAAATATTCAATTTTGAGAAGTCATGAGATATATGGAGTACAACTTCAAGCTTCCTGATATAGCTGGCGTGAAGCGTCACAGTTCATCATGAATTCCTAAAAATTATTTAATTTCATAGGATACTGTAATAGGGAATTTCTTCTTATGATTGATTTTATATACATTTTTAAGTTAATTAAATGTTGAAGTATTGGTGCAGGTCCATTACCAAGAAATTATAACACTTATCTGAACTAAACTTGCGTGTATGATGCATCAAGGGATGAACACTTGCTAAACCTGCTTCAGATGCTGTATAAGGAAGCACACAAAAAGAGCACTTGTTTAGTTTATATTTACCCAGCAATCATTTGGCTCGTAACTTTTCTTTACTCATCGATATTTTTTGAGACAATCTTCATTATTTTGATTTTAATCTACAGACCTGTAACCCTAACCTTGACCAGATAAATAAAGCCAATTTTGCTGCGGTCGGAGGACTGCTGCCCCAAATACAGAGGACCCCCATAGAAGCCGACATACTTATCTATCAATCTACTGTGTCAGGTAAGATTTAGGGAGGAAGCGGGGGTAGTGCCACCCCCAATACAAAGGGCCCCCCATAGAAGCTGACACTCTTATCTATCAATAAATTGTCTCAGGAAAGAATTAAGGGGAAAGCGGGACGGGGATTTACTTCCCCCAATACAGAGGACCCCCATAGAAGCTGACATACTTATCTACCATTCCATTGCCTTAGGTAAGATTTAGGGTGGAGGCGTGGTTACTTTAATTACTGACCCTTTATGAAGAGGACCCGCGTACTAGTATATAGAAACGGATATTTGTATCTATCAATCTACATGTATTGTCTAAGTTACAATGTAGCTAGGGTTCGTGCATTATGAAAATTTGTTGGCACGTACAGTTGCAGTTATTAGACCATATCTTTTGAAAACTGAAGTTTCAATGCGTATATATTTACACTCATTTTATGATTCCTTGACTTGACTGCATATTTAAAAATTCCCCTATTATCTTTTTAGTAACTTACAGTTGACGGAGGAGCAACTGAAATAGCTTCTGTTAAATATAAGCGTGAATTTCTTATTGTGTCTGGTGATGTACCGTCAGCTTCCACGATGTTCACATTTGGTGAGGTCAACATACAATGCATGCTTTAACCTTTGACCTTTTTTCCCATGTTAAATTGTTTTATATGCCGTAGAATGCCACACACTTCACATACAAAATATACATAAATGTAAACATTTCAGGAATGCTTTTAAGTTTTGTGTGAGTTATTGTTGTGTGAATCACTCAGACTTGTCACGTAGGCATATTTCAGGAAGCGAGCTAGCGCATAATGAAAAATATGCCTATGTGCAAGTCTATGTGACCAATAAATCACACTAAACAATAAAAACATACCTAGTATATTTGGGGAATAACTATATTCAAATTTGGTATTTGCGACCGTTATTGCTGATTTAACGGTCGCAAACGGAGTTGTGACGCGGAAGCGTAATTCTCATTCTAATGCAATCTATGCATTTTGTTTGTTGTTTACGTCTTATTTTGTTGAAAATTTGTAACATGGAATACATCACGGAGCCTTGTGTTTTGGCGTCGCTTTATTATTTATAACAATGAAAAGCTTTCACCCTCGTGACTGCTAGTTGTTCTGCTTCAAACATCAGTGCAGTAGCCAATCAGGACGTGTTTTACAACAAATTGCATTAGAATAACATTTTATATGTTTGGAAGCACCAAAAATGTATTTGATATTTGCATTAATTTCTTGTCGCCTTATATCGATCGTTATCCAGCCTCAGACAAATTTGTAGATTAATGATTGGATAAAAGCTAATCACACGACGCCCTGAAATTTTCCGTATTACGTCGCCGTCAAGGAATAATATGAAACTCGCGCACGCGATTTCGTTCGAAGCGTTGTTTTTGGAAATAAAAATGGCGGCTAAGAAACGTTTTGCTTAGGTAGTTTAGTTAAATTTCTTATTATAATATTTTATATTGATTTTTATTGGATTAAAACTTGATATTTTCATAATATGCACATAGATTTTTAATACTTTAAAGGGTCTTTAGCGAGATAAATTCGTAACACAGAAAGTTAGTGACCTAATACGGAGTCATACAGGAAATCCGTATTAGGACTCGCAAGGCTTCTCGCCCAATACTGATTTCAATTTCACACCCTGTATGACTTCGTATTAGGTCACTAACTGACTGTGTAACTAATATATAGAGGATATTCAATGTTTGTAGTTGAATATGGAATTTATTTCACGAGTAGGACAGGATTTTTTATATTTTCATGAGTGCGAATCACGAGTGAAAACATTAAAAAAATCCTGTCTCACGAGTGAAATAAATTCCAAATTCAACTACAAAACATTGAATTAAACAGTCATAGGCTCGTGACGTCATAGTCGAGCGGTTGAAACGTCATAGCTGAGTGAGGTGAAAACACTGTAAACATGGATTTAGCAACATATTTTTGGTAATTTTGACAGTTTTATTTTCTGTCAGAATGGTTTATTTATTTTCATCTATCTCATATTAGGTCAAGGAAGATTTTTTTTCAGCAATGAAGGGAAATCGAGAGTTTTCCCGCACTTCTGATATTCGTCACACTGTGACAGGATATCATTTCGATATCCTTTCACACTGTGACAGGATATCATTATTTTGTATTCAATGAATATATTACAGTAATTCATGGATAAAAATGTAATAATATACTTTAACGTCGCTGTGGTCTAATTGTGATGTCACGTTACGGTACGTTTATCCATGTATATTTCTATGCGTGAGTATAAACACAAAAGTGATATTTATATTATTATTACCATTTCCAATTGTTTTCTCTAAATTTCTCTATAGAAATACAATACTGAAAGGTCAAATGTAAAACTTGCATTATTATTATAGAATTATAAAGTCTGCGTTTTCCAGAACCTCCGAGGGCGAGAAGTGTTGTTTTTATCGATTAAAAGCCGAGGCATTAGTCTTTTATACGAGTATTTCAAACAACATTTCGAGACCGAGGAGGTTATTCTGCATCATTCACGACAACAAGGACTTTATTTCTTTTCTACCATGTATACTAAATAGGGCTGGGTATTGGCATGAGATTTGGTATTGTGATATATTGCGGTATTTTAAACTGTATTGCGATATGTATTGAAATATTTTCAAGGTAATATAAATGAAATTTTCGTACTATATTTACTTTAATTTACATGCAGAATGTACATAACTAAGATAATTAATCAACATAGAAAAAAATATTGTCGATTTCAGACAATTTATGCTCTGAAATGTTCCCACAAAACAACTTCTGACTAACTGTTTGGCTTAATAACAAACTTTCATATGTCCATTTTTATTTTTAATGACAAAATTCCTTAATCTAAGCATATTGCCAAAATATCGATATTACAAAATCGTATTGCGATACGATATTTTTTGTCATTGTATTGCAATATATTGAAATATCAGTATTATTGCCCAGCCCTAATACTAAAATCGCTTAAATACGGCTGATCGTTTCCTCTATAGAGAAACGAATTAGGTCACCATGTCTCGATTATGTTGTTCCATTTAACACCAGAAGTAATTTTTTTTTTGCTTACCTGTGAATGGAATGCAGACGATTTGAGCTTTCGTTGCATTAAAAATGGTCTTTTTTAAGAAGAAGGTATGGTTTTATCTTTATTACGCCCTAAAATTTATGTAATGACATCAAAATTTTTGAAACTGGCTTAAATATTAGTAAAATAAATGACTCTGATAAATCAGGAAAGAATATGGCATAAAGGTTTACCATTCTGCAAATATGACGTCATTAATGTGAAGCATTTCTCTATTTTCAACTGAAAAAGCTTCAAAATCGCACATTTCAAGGGTGATTTCCCTCTAGAAAACAGTGTCTACGTGCACAGCCGTCGCCCGCGTTAATGTTTTGATATTCTGTGCAAAATTCAACAATAAATCACATATCTCAAGATCTTTGTGGGCGATGCCTGTGGACAATGTTATCTGAAAGAAAATTGAGAATTGGTGTCTTCTGCTACTTGGACGTTGAGATTGAATACTGTTCGTTATTTCCATATCCTTCTTTTAAGAAAATACGGGAAAATGCACATGTTTATGACGTCTTAAAGAGCATTTAAAAACACATGTGAGATAAATGACTTGTATGATTTTTCGGCATTGAATTTTAGTTATTTAAAAGCATGAGTTTTCAACTTTTAAATCAGTTTCATTTTTTGGAAAATCACAGGGCGATATTTGTATGGAAACCATAAATTCTTCTTACAAATTTGTTCGTTATATATATATTGATCAGTTATATAATGAATATACAATAACAAAATCATGTCCCTGTTTTACTACTCTATTGGGACTAAAATCACGTTGTTTCAATGTGTAGGGAGGTCTGTGGAATAGCCCCGCTTAGCAACAAAAACCTTTTGTACCATGTATACTGCAAAAGACGACAAATCGATGCGGTCTAACAAGTATTTCATTCTACAGCCAAACATGCATTTGAATTGTTCAGATTTGATACGTGTTTCTGATCTGATAATTTTTTGATGACGTTCGTAATTTATTGGAGAATAAAGTCCGCAACTTTTCTTTGATCTTTGGAATAATCGTGGTAGAATGGCGTATAAATACACTGAAGAAAAAAAATGCTTTGTTTAATTGTTTACTAAGTAATTAGATAATTATAATATTTCTTTTTACAAACAAAATAAATAATGAATTATCTTCGGATCAAAAGCAAGTCAATTGTGCAACTCTGTCCATTATCACCGAGGCCTCGCAAGACCGAGAACCTCACTTCCGTAAATACGGTAAACAGCTATCTGAACCACGTGGAGAAATCGGGATTGCCACATATATCTGCACGCCATTATCTGATATAGACATCGTTCCTCGTCCCTCCTTCAGTCATTATCATTCAACTTCTTACGCAATCCAACGTCCTCTGTTATTTAAACACACACAATTCTGTTTCCTAACCATGTTGACCAACTGCCGTTTCATCAGCTTCAACCTTGCATTCAATATGGATACACGTGTTTGTGCTTCCGACAACATAAATCTAGGTTACATATATAATTAAAGTTAGTAATTGCTTGCTCATGGTATAAAATTCTTTTGTTGTTTATTTTATAAATGTTGATATTTGACTGCAGTATAAGTAAAATAGTAGTAATCATTAAATTTGTTTCATGTTTGTATGGGACTATTTTTTTAATAGTAAATTTGACGTCATGCATATGGGACGGGGCAATGGAAAATAACATGGAATGCCTCGTGCATTTCAAATCTACTAAATTAGACGGTATTTCAGTTTATTTTAAGATTGTTAATTCGAGTAAATATGGAAATACAAGTTTAGCTTTTAAAAAAAGCTTAGAGGGTCAGCCAGTGGATTTTTCTTCTCTGTGATAATGTTTTGAAGAATACATGTACTATGATACTGAAAAAAATGCATTTTACCGGTATTGCATGTTTTGTGTCTTAATCAA